AAGACCATGAAAATGTCTTGTCTGGACTGAACAACACTAGCACGACATTGTCCAGCCCTAGTGATTCAAGACTCGTGGACAATGGTAACAAAAACCACAATGTCGTCAAGGACGATGATGATGCTTACAACAACGACGCTATAGATCGTGACAAGGACTACTTTGATACTTTTCCACCGGGGTATCGCTTCTGTCCGATGGATAGTGAACTCATTGTTTGTTACCTGAAGAAAAAGATTCTGGGCGAGCTTTTACCCAGGAATCAGATTAGAGAAGTTAATCTTTATCGCCAGAACCCTGATACAATATCAGGTTTTTCTTTTTCGTTCTTTTTTAATAATTTTTCTATTTTTCCTCAAGTACGCTTTTTTACTATATAATTGATTTCGCCATAACCCTGATTGTTATGCATGCATCAGGTTGGTCTAAATCGAAGTTCATTCGATTGACATGCACTTACTTTTGTGATGATATCTGGCATGGGGTTTTAGGGGTTTTACTTTAAGGGTTTTAGGGTTTCTGTTTTAATTAAGTTTTTACAGTGGATAATTATTAGTGCTTATTTATACATGTGTCCAACTTTACTTGTTCGTAGGCCTTGTTTATCACTGGCATGTTTGCTGCTGTATCTGGTCTAGCGACGTTGTATTCGCATTAACTACTATTCCTGTTCAATAAATAAATACATGCGTTTAATTCCCTCCTATCAAAGTTTTGAATTCTTGCAAACATGCATTACTATTTTGTTATTATACCCGAGAGAGTACTAGGGAAGTTGTGGACCATTAGTTCTCCGGCAGATTTATTTAGTCCCCTTTTTAGTCTATTTACGTGCTTTACTATATATCTTAATCCCTTTCTCTTTTCCACTTTAGGTCACAATCCTTGTTTGCTTCTGAGGTTTCTGACCGTGTTAAGAGCTTACTACATTCACGTTTAGTTTTAGATGTTGTCTTCTAAATTATTTCACTGACAAGAAAAGTGAAGATTTTTCCTTTTTTCTTTTAGGTGTTTGAAATTTTATCCCTGACAGTTACACACTTAATTACCTGATTTTTTTTTTTTTTTGTTTTGCGAGAGTGATCATGCACTTTACTTGTATACCACACTAAGAAAAATACAGATTTCTCTTCCATGTGGACCTTTTTATGCTACCAATTGTGTATGATAGGAAGATTTTCTTCCGCAATTTTCTTTTTTAAAAATCTTTCTTGTTTTATCTTCTCTATTTTAGGGAGATATCCAAGCATGGGCGATAATCAATGGTTCTTTTTCACACCGAGGGATAAAAAGTATTTGAACGGTAGTCGCCCAAATCGGGCTGCCGGTACCGGTTATTGGAAGGCCACTGGGGCAGACAAGAATATCCACTGCAATGGTGTCACTGTTGGTGTTAGGAAGACATTGGTTTTTTATGAAGGCAGACCTCCCAAAGGTGTGAAGACAAGTTGGATTATGCACGAATACAGGGTTTTAGGACATCATAAAAGCAAGAGTGCAAATGACATGAGGGTAGGTAACACTTACATAATTCTTAATCTTTTCCTTGAGTAAGTACTTATTAACCTTCCTTTTCTAATGTTATATATATATGTCGTACGTAATTGTTCTTCATTGATACTATTATTTATTCTTTGGATCTAACGTGTTATTCTTGTAGCTTGATGATTATGTCCTGTGCAAGATTTATAAAAAGAATCACAAATCTTTCAAAGCTCGGCAAAGGAATGATGAAAATCCTGGTTCATTTAATCAAAGCAATGATGGAAATCCTGATGATGAACTAGTCCAACAAGATGAACTTGGAGAAGAAAAGGGCAGTTTATTTGATCCTCCTCCCGGTAGCAATGAACAAAGTGGCTGCCCTTACACTTACCAAGCTAACTACACCTATCCTCATTTGGAATCTTTTTATCAATATCCGCCATCAGAGCAATTTCCAATGCTTGCGGGCATTCAACCACTATCCATCGAACCTGCAACAAATCCAGACATTGCCAAATACATCAGTAATTTTCCACCGCACTACTATCATCACGGGGCCAAACCGATCAGCAGTTTTATACATCCATCTTTGTTCCTTCCAATACCTCCTGTCAATCCAGCTTCGTACCCTCCCACACTTACCATCAATGCCCCAAACTTAAAAGGCGGTACATCAGTTTTTAATCCTGTTGGAGGAGGAAATATTGGTGATATGGTGGTACAAGATAATTTGGATTTACCGATGGACTTCACTGATTATGGTAATACAAATTCTGTGGATCCTTACCTTGACTTGGACAAACTCTCCTCGCATGGCTTTGAAAGTCCTTCGATGCCTCAAGATTCGCGTGGCTCCCAAGATTCTTGAAGCAATATAGATCATCTTTATATTGACGATATATTGGTTAGGAGTATATATGGCTACTATTAGCAAACATTATCATTATTGACTCTATTTTCAGTTATTTTTACTTTGTTTTTCAGTTGCCACATTTTTTTTCATGGACAGTGCTGTAGTGCCTATCTATATCTATATGTATTGAGGAAGGGGTTTTTATCAGAGACCCTCTAAATGGCTTCTAAACTTCTCATTCTTTTTTCTAGATTTTTGTATTTATTTTAATACATAAAGTGGGTTATAACTAACCCTATCACCAATCAAATTTAAAATTTAAAACATTTCCACTATCTACTTCATAAACTGTTTATACTTTGTTATTTATACTTTAAATCCTTTTTACTCCATAATTAAAGACAAATGCTTATTCGTATGCTATTTTAATACAATGTTACATTTTTATAATTAAAAAATATTTATCCCCAAACTAACCCTATAACCACCCCTACAAATGAGTTTTGCAAATTACAATCACGTTTCAAAAAAATCACAAATGTACAACTAAATGTAAAGTTGAAGGGTAAAGTGCAGCTAAATATAAAGTTAAGGGGGTGTTGAACTTCAACCCATCACGTTTTCGATTGCCTTGTGTTATTTATAATTTTACAACAATTAAAACTTCCATAAGACCATAAGAAAAGATAACAAATATAACATCCATTCATGCTTTCTTATTAATTTAAATAAGTAAGATTATTTACACTCAATTTTTGTTATTCACACTCCAATAATCATTTTGATCATATAAGTTTCAATAATTAGACTATATGATAAAATAAATGATGGAATTGCAAATAATAAAAAATTGAGTGCAAATAACATTTTCTTAAGTAAGAAGTGGCTCCCATGCCTTTCTAATTTAAAAAAGTAGTAGCTCCGCTTATATAGGAATTTGGTTTGAAGTTTATTAGTGGGAGGGTAAATAAAAATAAAATATTGCCAAACTTAGTAAAAGTAAAAAAGTAAATGATAATATTTTTTCTTTAAACTTAGCATTCCTAAGTAAAAGGGCAAAATTAAATAGAAAACAAAAAGGAAATAATGTCGTGGATTTAAAAAATCAAGAATGGTACCATTCATGAAATCTAAATTATGAAATCACTAAATAAAAAACAAAGTACCACTGGCCTTTTGAAATATTCATTTTTGATAAAAAATAATGATAATAACAACACCAGTTCTACCAAAAAATTTTAAAAAAGTAATATTATAGTTTAAGAGAAAGATGTAGAACATTCAACCTTAAAATACTACTTAATTTGTAATTTAACATTAGATTTGAATAAGAGTGTAAAACCCAAACACTAATGATAACTTTTGATATCATTAGTTATTTTATGTATTCTTATTACTGTCTTCATATATAAATATGTATTTGCTATGTTAAAATATATATATATATATATATATATATATATGAATTGATTGTAGTACTTGAGGATATTATAGATATTGTCAGTTTTTCGTTTCCATTTTTAGATACTAATAATTGCAACCATTGTAATTAATTTTTAATTTTATATTTTTATTATGATAGGTAAAGTTAAATATATTGAATCGTAGGAATATGAATTTATATGTTAGGTATAGGGGGAGGAGCGAGAGGGAAGAAAATGGTGAGGTGTTAAAAAGTAGCAGGAAAGGTTGAAGAAGAAATATGGATTACAGGGATTGCAGGGATATGACAGAGATGACAAAAAAATAATAATAATAGAAAGGGTGGTACCATGGTAGAAGGTATAAAAGTCGTAGGAGGCATCTGATGACTAACTGGCGTATAAGAAAAGAGAGAAATGATAGTGATTTTTAATAATTTTAAGAACACTAAAAACACATAGTACGGAGAATTTTCTTTAAAATATACGTTAAAGTTTATGAAAAATGTTAATCGAAATACATTCAACAAATTTAGGGGCACAAGATAGGAGAAAGATCTTTTTTTTTTCTAAAAATGGAAGAAAATAAATTGGTTATAATTTATTTTTTTGTATTACAAGTTTTGATATATGGGTATAACATAGTAATATGTTTTGTTGGATATTGATAAATTGACTTTTTTTTAGAAAACTCTTCTCACCTTACCACCCAACCTAACTCTCTCCTTAAATGCGTTAACAATTCTTTTATCATGTAAATCATTATAAATTATAATTTTTTTCAAGATATTAAGCATGCATTTCTTTAAAAATTTTATTATATATATTTATTATTTTGTAACACAATATATAAATATATAAAATATTATTTTGATTTGAAATATAACCCGTGCATAGCACGGGTCAAAACACTAGTAGTTATGGTAACGATGTTAGGGAAACCTACTATTACAGGTTTCTATTACCTTTAGTGACAAATCGAATTTTTTAGTGACTTTTTAAATATTATATTAAAATAATTAATATTAACTTTAGTAAGTTTTTAATTAAAACGAGTAAGTATATACCTAAAAGATAAGTTTTAGTCAAAAATAGAAATTTACCCTTTCAGTAATTTAATTTACTTATTATTTGACAAATGTTACTTTTGTTTAATTAAAACTTATTAATACTAAAAGTAAAAAAATTACATATTAAAATAAGAAAATAATCGATTTCTAAAACGGTTTGGGTTTCCACATCTCTCTAAAGTTGCTTCCCTTCTTTTTATTATCTTCTCACCTCACGGAAAATTGTAGAAATTTTTCCCTGGAAAAGGAAGGAGTACGATCATCATCTTATGGAACGGGATTAGCTTTTGCTAAAATTTAGAAAATTGATCAAGCGGGCTAAGCAATTCTATCTTCAGGCTAAACTCTTCTGGTAGGTTTCATGCCTCAGTCTCTATTTCTGCCTTCTACTAAGCATTGATTCTCATTTCGGTCAATCAATTGGCCTACCTAGGCGTGGAGGAAAAGCTAAATATGCTTTATAGATAGCACAGGTTCAGGAGAAAGGGTTTCCCCTCTATCAGACACAACAAAAGGGTTAGCAACGGTGGTAGCCAACCAAAGAGCATATGAAAAATAGCGGTGACGAGGTTAGACCATCATGTTCTCTTGAAATCGTTTGTTTATATTGCTGTAATTTATTTATATTTCATTTGTTTTGTTTGTCAAGATTTTCTTGTGAAATCAGGGCTGAGAATTTGAAGAATTTATTGCAATTTTGGGGTTGAAATTGTCCATTGAAACATCTAGGAAATGGTTGTAGTTTTGATTGTTTACGAGTAAAATATGCTTAATAGCCATATGAAACATCTAGGAAAGGACTTGAGACTAGGTGTTTAAGTTAAATGTGATTAATTTGGGAATGCATATAAGATGTTCGGTGAAATGTCAAAGAGAAATTTGACTTGGTGGTTTTGATTTTCAGTTTGGCGGACAAAATACAATTGATTCTTAAACATTTTAATATTTTTGATGATAATAAGCTTTTTGATAACTACCATTGACTTTGTCTCTAATAATTTCGTAAGCACGTTCCTGGCATATATACATAATCATAATTTATAGTCTTTTAGGGTCAACTTTCAGAAGCAGTCAAATGGTTCGATATCTGTAAGAACATTCATAAAAGAGCATGAAGGCAAAATACGCAATGACATAATCAATTTTGTCTTCTTGAATTCCTCTAAAAGAAGGAATTTTGTCTTCTTTAATGAACGGAAAACTGATGTTGCAGACAAGTTTTTGCTGCTTATAGGTTTCCTTTGCATAAGAACTAGGCAATCTCTTTCAGGCATTTGTAGGTTGTACTAGGCTCTCTTCTGCAACTTTCGACCAATCCTATTTGCAAAAATTTTTTTTTGAGTCGCATGTTCTTTGAGAAAATCAACTTTGTTCAATATTTGAGAAGCTCACTTATATATTTCCTAAGACAGGAAACGCATGGTACAAAGTACATCTTGCTAAACAAATACGCAATCAATGTGCCTACTTGTACTTTCATTTATTTCATCTTCAGTATAGAAGAACAAACAAATAAAAAAAATGACATAATCAATCTTATGCAATAATGAAACATTTTGAAATGTATTTACTTCCAGTTGAATTATTCCGTGGATGACCATACAAAATAACCCTTAACATTTACTTCATCACTACAAAAGGATGAAAAATACCATAAATAATTACCTGAAGGAAGAATAGCACATATTCTGCTATTGTTCTATTGTTATGTAGTTGTTCTTGGCTATCCAACCTAACAGCTTCATAATAATTCTTCCAAAATTTAAATGAAAGGAGCAGTCTATCTTTGAGAGCCACAATTTTGCTTACTCAATTGTTAATCGAGTATTCAAAAGGTGATTTTGAATATATCTTATTCTGGTAGTATCCACTCGAGATTTTAGGAGTGTTAAACTTGTATCATTTTTTTAAACAACAGCAGCAGAACAAGGTGAAATTATTGTCAGATACAATAGCTAGAGTTGTAAGACTTTCTTTGCCTTATCTTGTAAAGGGGCCAAAAAGGAGTTAATGGATAGTAACTGGTTTCAGATCATTCCTCCTGGTCAGTTAATATATAGCTTGTTTTTATTTTTGTCTCGAGACATGCAATATAATTGTGCTGTATTTGCATTTGAATAGGCATTAATGTGGGCATGCAATCCTTCATTAATTCAAAGTCATGTACGAAACACTAGCTTGTTAGGAGACGAAAATCAGGTACATTTTTTTCTTCTTCACGCCTAAGTTTTATGTTACCTATTTGCTATGATTATGTGTTGTTGTGGCCTTTTTTTAATACAAATCTTGTGATGGTTTTGTAGTGAATGAACCAGATTTCAGCCAAGACCATTAAGAAATTTTATTCTTGAGAGGGTACAGATTTTTCAGATGGACTTTGCTAAAAAATTTTAGGATGATTTACGTTTCTCCGAAGGTAGTGTAATGCGTTTTGATTGTAAATCTGAACACAATCTCCTTAGTTTGCAATGATTGGTGTTTACTTGTTTTAATGTGAATACTTTCAACATCCAAGTGCTCTTGGGTTTGTAAACGAGAAATTTCAATTCAAACCGAAGCTTTTGATAGTGATTTCAGAGCCCTTGATTTGCAGGTGATCATAGTCTCAAATCAAGTTACTAGCCTCTTGATTGTTTCAGTTTTCTGAACCCAAAGCCTTTGTGCTCTAAATTCAGTTCTTGGCCATGTAATCTTGTCATGCTTAGATATCCATATCTAGTAACCTGCCGCCTTAATTCTGGTGCGTAAGTATCAGTTATTAAAAGTTAGTAAATTATATAAGATCTGAGGTTGCCATTCTTTGTTTCGGCCAATTTGCATTAGATGGACTTTTGTTTAGTCCAAGTACTAAATAAATTGGTGAGTAGATTATTACTGATGCTCAAAATGAGCCGTTTCATCCTATTTTGAAATACCAGTTTTATATAAAATGTCGTGAGACATGTAGAATTTTGTTGTTTACTTCAAATTGGACTGGCTTACTTGATTTAAGTGCCGTGATTTCCTCAGTAAGCCATTAGTAGAGGTCCAAACAAAATGACAATGGAAGTTTTGAATATGGTTCCCGTGTTGCTCAATATGACTTTTGATATGCTTCACTTTTGTACAAGTTATTGAGCAATGTATGCCTTGATCAGGGAAAAGAAAAGAGTTTGAGCATTTGTCTGTCAACTCTTCTCTCTATGTGATCAAAGTAAAGAAGTTTATGTGCAGGGCGGCAATCTGTGCCTTATGGTGGGGGAAAAATAAAAGAATTTGAGGACGTGTCTGTCAATCTTTTCTGTGTTTGATCAAACTAGAGAAATTGAGGTGCTTCACAGCTGTCTGTACTTTTATCTCTGTTTCTTTTAAGGGCTTTGAACCTTATGCAGTGATTGTGAATGGAATATGCAAGCAACTCTGTTTAAAGGTGTTCCCTGAGATGTCCACTGTTACTCGTGCTATTGAAATTTGTAACATTGTAGAACCTGTGGAATCCAGGACCAATGAGCCTATTGAATGGGCATGTCTGAAACGGGACCATAAAGTATATGCATTTTTGGCTCAAGGTATTGCCTCCTTCCCAAGAAAAGAATGCTTGTCTGAGGCACTTGGTGCTTCAAGCACTGACAATTACCCAGATGAAAGCATTAGAATACCCCGGAACCAAGTGACAGAATTGGTCAGAGACCTTCTTACTGGTCGAGCAAGGGTGAAATTGATTCTGCAGTCCCTGAGACATTAACGTATAAATTGATGGCCAAACTCTGTGTGATTACTGAAATCCGTATTCAACCATTTCAAGGTTATTTTAGAAGACTTTTCATTTTTGTTTGGGGAGGAGGGGGTTGACGGTGACTTCTTGTTTAAAACCTGTCTCTTTATTGGTAGAAAAACTTGATTTGCATTATCAGTGTACTTTCAGTTTGGTTCCCCCATATATCCAGCAAAGGCTGTAAGACTTTTGATGGGGGATTTGTATTGCTGGTATGGAAGCACAAATGGAGGGAGAAGTGTCTTCAGCTGCACAAGAATCTTGTCATGAAATATTGCTTGTCCGGATTCAGTATTACTAATTAACTGCGTTATAGGAGAATTGTTTGCAAAAGTTCAAGCTGCCAGAACCTGTCCTCTGTATTGGAGGGATTCTGCAAGTCCAGCTATTGGGTAGAGTGCAGAAACAAGAAATAGATAGTTTGTATTACATATGGTGAGTCCTACTTTATTATGATTTTTGTCGCTTGTGTTTGGTGCACAAGCGAGAGGGATTTTTCTCGCATTCACAGGTTTGGTGCAAGTATAAGAGGTTGGGAGCACATGATCCTCAACACATTACCCGGTGCTAGAGGGATTATGGTAAATGACTACGACTACGACGGCGAGGACGATGATTCAGATGACCAGTATAACTAAGTGCTTCTGCTTCTTGCTACGCTTTCTGGTTTTCTTATGCTCTGTTCCTGCTGCCCTTCTGTAAGCTCTGAAGCACAAGATAGAAATTTGGAATTTTGGATTTGTTGGTGGGAACTAGTTTCGACTTTCTTTGTCCATTCATCATAACCGAGGAAACAATAGTTGTGGGGGTCTCGTAAATACCTTCAATGAATCCGAAAAAAGGCTACCAGCTTTAGGTACTATGAATTCTTTGGCATAAAGAAATCCAAGCATTACTAGTGCATCAACCTTTCCTACTCTAACTATAATTAATGGCTAATAAAAGTCACCTTGGTACTTATCTCTTGAATTCTTAACTATTTCAAAATTTAATAAAGAATTTTATCACAACCACAACACTTTTGAATTCAAAACTACAAACAAGCCTATCCTTTTTTTTTTAAATTTTGGGTTAAAGTTAGCAAAAGTTCTACTTATTTGCACCTTTCCTGTTAAAATTAATTTTTGTTGCAATTTCCTATTTTAGTTATCCATTCGACACTAGTACGGGCATAGATACGGATTAAGCAACCAGTTTGAGGAATAATATTTTTTATTAAAAAAAATTAATTTGAATTGAATTAACAATTTGATCTTTTCACAAAAAAGTGTCATTTTTTTTGTCCTTTTTCAAAAAAATTTAAGACAACTATATTTTAGTAATTGTTGTCATTGACACTTAATTGAAGTTCATTAAGAATAATTGAAGTTCCGATATCAATACTCTATTCAAATGTAAAAATTCAACCTAAGTAACAAAATAAATGATAGCTAAACAAATGAAATATGCGTTCAATTGATCGTGTTCAAACTACATCTTCTGTTAATAGTTAGTATATATGAAATTGTATTTTCCATTTGTAGAAAATTAATATGCATTTTATATCTACTAACGAATAAATTACCTATGTTTTGAACAAATCAAACCTAAACTTATGGTGTGATATGTATATAGTTGCTTACATTTATACGTATGCCATCATCCTTTCTTTATGATGGAAATTTCTTTTGATTATATTTAGGGGTGGCAATTTGCGATACGACCTGAAAAAATGATATGAACCTAACACGATATACATTGATTCGGATTGAGGTTTTGCGGGGTCGGGTCAGAATCGAGTCGAATGCGACGAACCCGAAAAAAAAATGGGTCTTATTCGGTGGGTGATCCGATACGACCCCCCGATCACCTGTTTATGAATTAAAAATTATTTTACCTAACTAAACTACGTTATTCTTTTTGTTTCAAAGGCATTAATCACTTAATCCTAAATGAATTTATTTAACTTATTTGAAGTTGAAATTATTATATTTAGAAAAATAATTTATTATATTATTTTTTACTTTTATACTGCTTTTATTTATTTTATATTTGGTTTGGAACAAAACACTTTTACGATGTTTTTAATTTATTTTTGATTTGGTTGGGATTATTTATTTAAATTTTTATTACTTGATTATGTAATTAGTCTTGTGTGAATTACAAATTACAGTGGTAAATTAATAAATTAAAATTAAGTTTTGGGTCATTCGGGTCGTCCCGCCAACCCGACAACCTGGAATTTTCAGATTCGGGTCAGATATCCTGACCCGTTTCGGGTTGGGGGGTCAAGTTCGGGTCAGCCAGTTTTCTATTATACCTGGGTCTCAACCCGACCTGTCACTCCGATTTGGACCCGATTGCCACCCCTAATTATATTGTCAAAAAAATAACATATTTTACAAATTATTCCAATTTATTTAGAAAATGTTACTAATTTCATTAGAAATTATGAAATGTAATCATGGTTTATTAATTTTTTACTAAATATAAATACAACATACAAAAGGAAAATATATTTGACTTTGTTTTACTTTGATCAGAAAAACTTGTGGTACAAATAACGAAATAGTGACAAGGGTGCAAATTTCAAATCAACAACCAACGTACACTTAATTACGCTAATTTTTTAGTTGACCAAACTAATATATGCCATAAAGTAACTAGATTTTAGCATTTATAAATTGGCAATTTTAGCAGTTTATGTACCATTCACCTATAAAAATTATGATTATTATAAAATGACATTTTATAATAATTTACATACTATTTGCCAATTAAAAGTAAGTTCGATAAAAAAAATATATGCATATAAATCCATATTGTAAATGATACAAAATATATTTGAATCTCACGAAACTTAATCTATGGGTAAATTTACTATAGTTTTCAAAGATTATGCCACATTAGTACAAATTTAACTTTTATGCTTGTGACCTAGAAAATAAATTTATTAGAACACATAACCTTTGTAAATGATACATACATTTATTAAAATGCTTAAAACACATAACATTGATGAATGATACATACAATCATATATTATACATTTACGTTACCAACAATTACTAACTATAATATTAAGTTTCAATCATTAATAAAAAAATCTTAGCATTATTTTAAATAAACTTTCTACTACTTGTTTCATATAAGTTTCTTTAAGTAAAATAGTAAATTTATGCCATAAACTAGTAAGTCTTGATGATTAACCAAATTTACTATTCTATCAACAGGATTTACTATTAATCCGTGAAAACTTACTATTACTTGAACTAAACTTACTCTCCAAGAAGAAAGTTTCGAATATAGAGTAGTAATTTATTTTTTTTAAAAAAAGTAACTTTCATTTTTATTTCAATTTACTTTTTAAGACATAAATAGGATAACAGATTTCGTTACCATTTTCGATTTATTTTTTATTTGCTTTTAGCGACCATTTGATTATTTGATCGGTCTATCCACTTAAATAGGATAACACTTAAAAATAAGAAAGTAAGTTTTCTATCTAAAATAATAAGTTAACAGTAATAAATTAGTAACTTTTATACTTCAAAAGGTAAGTTGGAATAAATATTAAACTTACTTTTTAAATAAATAATTACTACTTTATTTCCCAAACTTACTTTTTAGAGAGTAAGTTTAATTCAAGTAATAGTAAGCTTTTATACATAAATAGTAACTCTTACTAATAACATGGTAAATTGATTAATAATCCAAACTTACTGATTTATGGGACACATGTGCTATTTTATTTTAAAACATATTTCAAACTAGTATTAGGAAGTTTATTTGAAATAATGATAAGATGTTTTATTAATAATTAATTCTTAGTACCTTAGTTAGTAAGTACTCATAATATACCTATATGATACCTGATTATAGGTATAATTTAAAAAAATTATTTATATATTTTAAAATACTATGAAAAATAGTTTGACTTTTCACATAATCTTGTAAAATATGAAATAAAATTTTGTCGTATTATAAGCTTTTAATCATTTTCAATTTTTGAAA